GTCCAAGGCAGCTTTTGTGATTCCTGTTGTGCTGTATTTGTGCCTCCAGCCAGTGCTTTAACACTGGGACTCATATTGTTTTGAGTCCCAAAACTAGATGTAGTAAGAGAAAAAAATGGTAATTGATAGAATTACCTATATATCCCATGAAAAATTGTGATATTGTGAGAAAATACTTAACAATATTCTGAGTTTTAGCTATGTTAGCTAAATTTTGAAGTGTCTTATACTTAACAGCTGTTGCAGCAGGAGTATGTGATGGACTGGGAAGTAACCTAAGTTAATCATTGCAGCTTATTTTTCTTTACACTAAACCTTCTTTGAAAGATACCTCATCTTTTTTAAGCAATAGAACTATAGATGAGAGAGCCTGAGTTCAGTGTGGAGGCGGAGGAGTTATTTTCTGTTTGTTCTGAGCTTCTAACCATCAGAATGTTTTAAGCAGCTGCTAACCAATACTGTCAAAGAGCCAGCTTCAGGAAAGGCCAAGGGTTGAAAAGTGGGGATGTTTCTGTTTTGAGAACTTAATACGTACAGAAAAGGATGTGTTTTCTTTTTAACCTCTGTTCTCTTTCAGGGTAGTTCATGCGTGTACTGCACTAAACTTGGAACAAACGTGGTGCAAGGTGAGAGTGGGAATTGGTGGAGAGAGAACCAAGTTATGTCACGTTGTTTTTCAAGTAGCACTTGTGGTGTTGACTGCCAGTTCTCAGTCTGATCTCTCAGTCTTACAGGGAGCACAGACTTGTTTCCCTTTTACAGATGATTTGTTTGCTTCCTCTCGATCTCATCTGTAGACAGAGATTACCCCAGAGGGTTTTTTTAGCCTGTCTGGCAGTGGATGGTAATGGAATCAGCTTGTGAAGTAACTCAGTCTGTTTTATGCATAGCTTGGTGTCTTGAGGACCCCAAAGAAGCTGAAATTCAGCTTAGAAGTATCTTGTGGCAGCTCCTGAATCAGTCACTTCGGAGAAAGGACAGGAGTACTTCCCTGTGCCCTGCCAAGCACCAGATGCTCAAGTAAATGGCATTATTTAATAGTAACACTTTTGTATTACATATTGCAAAGTCATCTTAGTAATGGCTTGAGCTTGCTAGTTGTTTCTTTACTGTATAATACTGTTCCTTGCTATGGTCGTTAATACTGAATTGGTGTCCAGAGCTCTTACCAGACTACTTTTTAGGGTAGTTTTAATTAAATTAGGATGGGTTGTTTTTTTTTTACTTTCTGTATTTAGGTTTTGGGTTTTGTTTGTGCTTTGAGACAAGTGCAATAAACTAGATTTTTAAGAAATAACTGACTGTGGTAAGACTCATCTGTTGTGTGATTCACAAGAGAGCTCTCAGTGTCTGGAAATTGTCTGGCTGTGAAACACAGCCATGCTTATGAAACCCCTCCCAGGCACTATGGGAAAGGACCTGGAGATTGCGAAGTTTATTTCTTATACTTTTCAAACTGTGACAGCTGGACCAAACCAGCAAAATGCTCATCTTTCAAGCAGAGGCAATTAAACACTTCTCATATTTGTATATTAAGCTTATTGCCTCCGTGGTAAGATGGTCATAGAATCAGAGAATCAACCAGGTTGGGAAAGACCTCGAAGTCCAACCCTACCATGGTTACTAGACCATGGCACTAGACACTGCCACATCCAGTCTCACCTTGAAAACCTCCAGGGATGGTGAATCCACCACCTCCCTGGGCAGCACATTCCAATGCCTGAGCACTCTGTCTGTAAAAAATCTCTTCCTAATATCCAACCTAACCCTCCCCTGGCAGAGCTGAATAGAAGCTGTAATAGAAGTACCTACATGCCAAACAAAAAATGCATGTTAAATGTTTTAGCTCTTGGTGAAAAATACACACGTGTGGTTCCAGCTAGAAAAGGTTCAAGCAGAACTGGGGTGATTGCACCACGTGCTGTAGCTGCACCCTTCCTTGAATTTTGAGTTATCTGAGGACATCCTGCCTTTCTGGCCTTTTAACTGGAACTGCAGCTGGGGCTTACAAGAGAACACCTTGGCTTCACTTCCGAAGGAGAGAACTGTTTACTGACCGAGTCAGGACCTGGGTAACTTCACACAAGAAAGCACAGCAATGATTAATGAGGCTTCTGGCACTTAAACACACTTCCCGCCCCAGGAATCCTGTTCAGATTCAGATGGAAATGTCCTGGCTAATTATCATAGCTTTTATCTTGACAAACTGGTTCAGCTGTTTCTGTGGCTCCTGCAGGGAAATCATAGTCTCCTTGCAGAACCAGCCCCTTGCCATTGTGCAGGAGGAATCCTTATGGCGCAGTTTAAGGAAGATGACTGTGATGAGTTGGTGGGAAACAGCCCTCTGAGATAGATGAGTATGTCTTGGTTTGCTTTGTCTTGCAGCGATAAAAACAAATAGGATCGTGTTAAATGCTGCAAAGAAAATCTTGAGCTAACAAGGGTCAAAGAAAAGACATCAATTGCTTAAGTAAGATAGTGGAACTGTTGTTAGGAAACACTGCTACTGCTGAGAAAACTGTGATGAGGAGCAATTACAAACTTGGGTCATTGGATAAACATAGTTTTATTTATGCAGGTACAAAGATTCACGTTCACTCAGCCTTGTTACCTGTTCAAAGAGTGTCTGATGTGATGAACAAAAATCCCCTCTTCTTCCCCATGGTCACAGAAAGTCTGAACATTACTTTTCAATAGAAGAGTCCTGTCAAGTATTTCAAAGGCATTTGTAGGTTATTTCAGACTAGTGTTGCATTCTGGCTTATATTTTTGCTTCTCTTAAAACTCCTTTAATGAGTGAGCTGCTGCTACTCGTTTCTGCTAGAGTTCTGGGTAGGTTTCAACCAACCACCTTGAGACAGCTTTTCAGCTGTTTGCAATTCAAGTGCTTGTATGCCTATGGCTTTGCCTGGTCAATTAGCAATTAGTAATGTATCAGTCATGTAGGACAATATGGAGATCTCCTCCTTACCTTGATGTAAATTCTCTGGTCTTCAGTTTGCAGGTTACCCAGCCCTGTCCACATCCCATCCTTGCTGTCAGGAGTAGAGAGATAAGATCTGGACTGAGGATTTCCAGCTGCAGAAGGTTTGATTCAAGCTTTATTCCTCTTGCAGCCTTCCTGAAAGTGAAAGCTGCATGTGGGAAATATTATTATGGTGGCAAGTAGCCAGCAGAGAGCTGCTGTGTCCCTTGCCAAACAAAGTAGATCACCCTGATTGTTTGATAATGAGTTACTGTAGTTAGAATAATCACTCTCACATCTGCAGGACAGAAGAGAACTTGGAATATATATGGAGGAGTAGATTTTAATTACTGGCAAGTGAAAGTTGAGTTGCAAGTCATTATCTCTTGTGAATTACTACAAGCAGAGCTGCACTGATAAAGTTTAAAATCTCTGATGAATGGAATTATCTCCCTAGTCGGCTGAATAGCAATATCTAGGTTTATCAGCTATGGATTTCTCATTTGAAATTGAGATAGGAAGTTTGGGCTCAGTGCAGGAAATGTGTTAGAGTATTCGAAGCTTTGTGAAATTACCATGATGATTCCTTAGGCTCAAAGACCAATCTGACTTGAAATCTTTTTAAATGTGTCCATCAAAGTTTTTATGTTAGCCATAAAGTTAAAATCCTGCTTGATGCTAGGAGAGAGAAAGCATAGAGGAAGTAAAGGTCTGTTTGAGAATCTTAGTGTTCTTATAGATGGTGAACTCATATATAGGCATGCACATATATAAAAGCTTTGGTTTCTGTTCTCTAAAAGCTAATCCAGTGATAATAAATTGGCAAAAAATACTAAATCCTCCAAACTGAAAAATGTCCTTTCCATCTTGGTCCTCAGAAATTGCTTTAAAATAGAGTGATTTTTATAGCCTGTGATTCTCTGATAGAGGCACTAAACAGTGCACAACTGAATAGCACTGAGTGGAGCTGCAGTTAAGAATTAATCTTACAAACATTATTCACTATTTCCGATACAGAAGAAACCAGTGGCTTATTTTTTTTCCATTTTAATATACTTTTCTCATAACCTCAGCTGAGAGACACATAGAGCAGATAAAGGAGGAGGACTTCAATTTACAACACTTGTGTTTTGAATCCCATATCCAGTGAAAATATACCTAAAGATGTGTACAGAATTGTATTAACATCCTGCTCTTCCCACCTTGAGCTTGCAGAAGGTGACTGCAGGGTTTCTTTGTATTCAGTGGACTTGCTGCCTGATCAGTGTGGTTGAGGCTTTGCTGGAAGCTTTCTTGTTGTTAGGAGTGTGCACAGGTGTCTTGTATACAGAATGGAGAAGTGACCCAGGTGTTGTGTCTGTTAAAGCATGAAATGAGAACACTCAGTAGATGATTCCTTGCTGAGGCTGTCACGCTGCTGTATT